GAGAGTATGCCTTGGAACTGAGGATCCCTGAAGCCCTTTCAGGGGATCCTTGAGGTCAAAATTATTTGCCTATTAAAGTACTTCTTCCATTTCCAACTAACATATCTGTGTGAGGCTGGATTTTCTTCATATACTTCAACTGAAACAACATTGCAACAAAATGAATGCAGAAGCAGATAGGAGAATCCAGCTGTGCCCTATTAAGCTAGAACACCTTCATGAGATTTGCATGAATATGAAGACAGTGTCACTCTTCTCATTAATTTTTTTGTTTTGGAAAATATAGTGTTTTCATAAAATGCTATGTTAACATAATGGGTTTATTTTAAATGGATGAATATTAAAAAGTATCAGTTTTAATTTCTAATATGGTAAATATTTATGGATATAACCTAAACAAACAGAAGTTCTTAGGAGTCTTCAGTAGTTTTTAAGTGTGTAGAGGGACCCATAATCATTTTTAAGAGTGTAACAAGGTCTTGAGACCAAAAAGTTTGAGAACTGTCACTCAAGAGTGTTTCTTGTTGAAAACCCAGGGAAGGACACTTTCAAGGGACAATTTCCCCCCCTCTTTTGGTATGTAAAACATTAGATTATGAGTTAGCCCTTTTGAACTGATAAAACTTGCTTACTTTTTTTTTCTCCTTAAATTTCCTTTGTGTGCTGTTTGCATTTTTAGGAATGTCCAACTCAGATTTTATCAGAAGGAATGCTTACACGTCAGTTCACAAATTGATAGGATATGATTATGCTCATTTCTTAAGGATGTAATCCTTGGGTGCAAGCTGAATTTATTTTCCTTAGTATATATCATATTCCAGATTTTCCGCTTCTACCTTGTTCATAGTAAGTCATCCCAGGCAGTTTTGACTGTAGTTCTCTGGTATGTAAGCTGTGTGTCTCTGATTGTTTAAAATACTTTTGTTTTTGCCTTGTGAGCCCTGCATCTTGGCAACCACATTTCTGGGTAAGTTAAACCTGGGGTATAGCATCTTCTTGTAGTGACCTGTGGATTTTGTCTGTCTGCTGTAGGTACTAATATTTTGTGGCAATTTTCCTTTGTGCTTTTTAAAGAATTATCCAGATTTTTTTGTTTCATTATATTTTTATTGGAGACAAATGAGACTTAGCATTTTTGTCTGAGCTTATTTGGTTTTGGATTTACAGACTTGTATTTTTCTGATTATACTGTCTTTTGACTTGACTGTTATTATTGTACCATTCATTTGCTTTACTGTGTCTGTCTGTCTCTTTTTTTTTTGGTGAGGCAGTTGGGGTTAAGTGACTTGCCCAGGATCACATGGCTAGTAAGTGTCAAGTGTCTGGGGCCAGATTTGAACTCAGGTCCTCTTGACTCCAAGGCTTTATCCACTGTGCCACCTAGCTGCCCCCACTCTATTCTTAATTGACTTATTTATTATGTTTTCATTCTGTTCTTGGAATTGTAGAGGAGTTCCATCCTCATTTCTGAGGGTCTGGCTATAGTTAATGCTGAATTATAATTTTTTCAGACATTCTTTTACCCATAGTCTTTATTTTGTATTAATAATTGTTACTTATTCTGGTTTTATGCTATTTTTCTATAGTGACTTCCTTGTAAACATTTTATTTTCTTTCAGTTTATATTCTGTGACTCAGTGTGGGGCTCGTCTTCTCATTTGAAGGTAATGAAAGAAAACCAGACTTAGATACAATCCCTCCCTTAGCCATTTTGCTGCCTCTCTGAGTTGTAATTTTTTCTGGAGGGGTGTGTGTGGTAATACAGTTTGAATAGGCTTCTGAAGACTTTAGTGCAGAAGCTCATGGCCTTGGTTAAAGTTTCAAATATTTAACGAAACTCCTGGGAGTACTTGTTTTGTATACTAGGTGTAATTATGAACATCTGTTAGTCGTGGTGAACATTTGCTCCTCTCTCTTTAGTTATTAAATTTTAAAATTAATATCTCTTGTTTTTTCATTGCCTAAATTTTTCTCTGCATTCCTCTCCTCCCCCTTCTTAAAGAGCCATCTCATATAACAAAGAATATTTTTTAAAAGAAAAAAATAAAAAAGAGGAAGAAGAGGAGAAAAAACCCAGCAAAACTAATCAGTTCATTAAAGAAGTTTGAAAATATATTCAGTGTTCCTTTTATGATCCTGCTAGTTCTACCAAGGAGTAAGATGGGGAGGTATCTTCTCATATTTCTTCTTTGGGGCCATCCTTTTTCTCGGTAATTCTGCAACTTTCATTATTGATTATTTTGTGTTTCTTTCCATTTTTACAGTATTGTAGTCACTATATATATTTGCTTGTCTGTTTTACTCTGCATCAGTTAATGTAAGTCTTGTTATGTCTGCTTCTCTCTATTCATCATATTTGCTTTGTTCTTTCTTATGACAACTTGTGCTTTCCTAATTTGACAGAAATTTGCTTTGGTTTTTCAGGCAAGATAATCCTTAAAGATCTTTTTTGAGTGTTATCACTGAGTAGAGGAATTTTTTCTTTCTTTTTACCGTATTAGTCAACATTACCCTGGTTTTTGGTTACTTTTGCTTTCAGTTAAGGACACAATCTTTTTTTGGGTAATGAAGGGTTATAACCTTTAGTGACTCTAGAGAAGAAGAAAAAGGATTGTACTATTAAAGGATTTTTAGCATAAATCCAACCCTATCACAATAGTTTGTGTGAGGTGCCTTGTGAGAAAGTACTTCCTTAGTTAAGACAGGGGCTGTGTCAGTTTCTGAGAGGTCATTTTTTAGAGGGAAAAAAAGCTTCTCCAAAATACTGAAAAGAAATTGACAATGGTTGCTTTCTCATAATGATTGTAATGCACACATTTGTATTGTGTGTGATATTATATGTTAATTCAGGAGAGCATAGTAGAGGATGAGGAGAGAAGAGATACAAAGGAGAGTCTCCAGAGGAAGGTTGCCAAGATGGTAAGAAGTTTGGAATCTATGTCATGAGAACCATATTATGTAAGAGGCAATTGAAGGACCTTGGAATTTTGATCTTGAGAGAAGAAAGAACATTGGTAAAACCTGTCTTCAAATATGTGAGAAGCTGTCACATAGAAGGAATAGACGTGTTCCTATTTACTTGCCCTGCCTAGTGTTTTATCTTTTTATCTATTTTTCTTCTTTTTTTGATGTTTCGCTTTCCTTACCCAGTTAGGGAGTGGTTCAAAAATCTTCCTTTTAACCACTTTATTTTACTTTATTTGAAAAAAAAATAATTTTCTATTAATATTTTTGCCTTTCTAACACTTACCTTTCCAAGTGAAGCCTTCTAAGTCCCTCCAGAAAACCATCCCTTTATGTAGAATTTTATTTAAATTTAAAGAATTTTAAAACAAGAAAACAAAAAGTTCAGTAAAACTTACCAACTTTAAATAAGTCTGCTATTGTATGCTATATTCCATACCCATAGTCCCTCTCTTATTCAGAGAAGTTGGTTGAGCTGTGTTGTCATCTTTGCTTTGGGATTGAACTTGGCTACTGTAATTTGTAGCACTCAGGTTTTGATTGTTGTGAAGAGGTGAGTTGTGTTTGTTGTCAGTGGAGACGAAGTGTTGCAATTTATACTGATATAAAACCATGATGTGTACGAGAAGTATTTTTAAAACTATTTTTGGTGTATGCATTTTGAAATTTGAACACTGTATTATTTAATGCATGTATTTAGGGCACCTGGGTGGTCAAGTGGATAGAACATTGGGCCTGGAGTCAGGAAGGCCTGAATTCAAATTCAGTCTTGTACTTACTAGCGGTGTAACCCTGTTTCTCTTGGCTTCTTCATCTGGGTGGTATCCCCAGGGGTTTGTTTGTTGTGAGAATAAAATGAGATAATATTTGTAAGGGGCTTAGCATAGTGCCTTGCACATTGTAGGCTTAATGTAAATGTTAGCTGCTATTATTGTTTAGTGGAAATATTTTACCTTCATAGATCAGTTGAAAGATGGAATTTGGAGGCAAGGAATCTATATTCAGATTCCAGCTCTGCTAATTGTTACATGTGTGACCTTAATTGGGCAAGTCACTTAACATGTCTGGGCCAGTTTCCTTATCTGTCAAATTGTGGGGTTTTAATAGATCATGTCCTAGATCTCTTCATCTCTAAATATATGATCCTGTGATCCACCTGGAACCAATAGACTAGGGAGGGGCTATATGGCAAAAGGCAAAGTTTGAAAACTTTAGAAGAAATAGGGATTACAGGAGGGTGAGAGAGATTTTAAAATAGACCAAAATTTGTTTAATAAACATTGACCTTAGTTCTTTTGGTATGGCATTATTTCTTTCTTACTAAGTGCTATGTATTAAGGTGTTAAATGCTTATAAAGGAAAATTTAAAACAAAATGCTCTATTAAGGCTAAAATGCCCATTGAGTTATATTTAATTTGTCAGTAAAAACATAATATAGTTATTTGATTCTACCATGAATTTAGAAGATTAAAAAAAATTTCAGTTTTACTTTTTCAGTTTTTACTTTCAGTTTTTACCCTAGCAAAACGCTAGTAATGGGGAAGGACTTTTTAATAGTGTATTGTGTTTGCATTTTCAAATTGGTGTATTCTGATATGAAGGTAGAAGATGTACAGATATTTCTAATCAAGATGATTAGAAAGGATTTTTATTTTTGATTAGTAAAGTCTTATGCTCTTATTCCCTTTTATGTTTTTGGTCTTATAAAAATGCTTTATTTTTGTAAATGTTTTATTACTGTGTAATGTATTTCTAAAGTATAGCTTTAAAATAAAAATAAGGGAATAGTATATTATTTTAAACATTTTCATAATTTTCTTTGCTGTTAACATTTTATACAATGCCAGCTTGGTGTCTGGCATAATGACATTAAGTATGAAGGATAGTTTAGAGATATAGAGTGGCCCCAAGTTATTTTATCCTGTGTTTAAAAGAAAAAATATTAATACTCTTTCGAAATCTGTCGTGTTTTGGAAAGTCATGTATTATTTGGTCACAATTTTTTCATATTTTTTCCTTTTTTTTTTTATTTTAGCATCAAGGTATTGGCCATCCTAGTGTATACCATGCAGTTGTTGTCATCTTCCTTGAGTTCTTTGCTTGGGGTCTGCTTACAACTCCTATGCTCATAGTAAGTAGTGTGTGTGTGTGTGTGTGTGTGTGTGTGTGGTGTGTGTGTGTGTGTGTGTGTGTGTATGTGTGTGTGTGGGCGTGCACACACCTGCACATGTTTGTGTTTATGGGTGGGTTAATTGTACATGTATTTGTGTTTATATGAGAGAGAGGGACAGACAGACTCTGATGGACTGGTAGCAGTTAGCTTGGCAATAGCTATTGCCAGTGATTTTAAATCTCACTGTTTTTGTATTCATTTGCATCAGTTCTACTGATTGTTATTTGGACATTATAATGAAGATGAGCTATACTTGGGAAAGCCTGAGTTGTCTTGGCAGTATTATAGGGCAGGTCCACAGTACTTAGCTTGTGTGGGTGTTTGTGTTCTCTCTCTTTTGTGGAAAATAGCTCAGAAGGAAAACAGTACAGTAGATACCAGAGCTGCAGAGATAGAGACGTTTTCATTTGAGGAAAGCTAAGGATCTTCTAAATTAATAAGAACGTGACCTGTCTTTTGTTATAAAGAAACCTGTTATTTTAGCTAGTTAAATAATATGTACATTTATGCTGAGTTACCTAAGGGGAGGAGGGGAATATTTTTATTTCTATGTATTTAGTAAGTATTTGTAGAAATACATGTTGCATATAGGTAAGTTATTTCACGGCAGCTGGGTAGTATAGTGGGTAGGAGGGGCTGGAGTCAGGAAGACCTGAGTTCAAATCCAGACTTGGTTACTAGCTGTCACTTAACCCTGTTTGCCTGAGTTTCCTCATCTATAAAATGAGCTGGAGAAGGAAATGTCAAACCACCCCAGTATTTTTGCCAAGAAAACCCCAAAACAGCTACCACAACTGAGAATGACCTCCACTTGAGCAAGGGTATTCTTTCCCTTGATTATTTTCCTCCCCAAACCCTGAAACCATTCAGGTAGGGCTCTGTCCGAAAGGGGAGATTAGTTATACTCTACACATGGTGGCCTTATGGATAGGGGGCAGGACTTCTGTTAAGGGAGCATAAATCTTGTTTACCAAATCCATTAAAAATATATTTTTTTAAGATTTCACTTCCTCTTTTGATATTTCCTATTGGATAAATGGCTAAAGAGGAATTTATCTTTTGGGGGCCAAATCTAACAAACTCCCCATTTTAGCCACCAGGCAAAGGGGAAATCTTTATTTGGGGTCTCCTACTTCAGCAGAGAGAACACATCTTCAGTTAGGTCTCCAAGCCAGTGAACTCTATTACTGACAAAGCTTAGGAGTTACCCCCAGCAGATCACATCTTCATTAGCTTGTTCTAATGATGCATTAGTTTGCTGTTTGAACTTATGCAGCCTTCCAAGTTGGTTGGTAGTGAAAGCTGGCTCACACTACAGCTCCCATATTGAAGAAGTCACTACCCCGGAGGTAGGGGTGGGTAGGGTGGTAATGACAGAAGCCCAAGGATCCTGCCAGCACTCATTCCCAGTCCTCATCTTTGTTTCTGCTCCCTTTATTTTCCTTTATAACTCTAATTTCAGTAGAGTTTAATGGTTTAAGACATTCTCCAGTGAAACCTCTGTGTCAGAGATTGTACTTGTTATCGGTACCTTCTCCCTAGCTCCCAACCATACTGTCATTGTCCTTTTCACCTGTGCTTTTGTTACTAGGTCTATAAACGGGTTCTGCCTTAAGATATAGAAAGCTAGCATTCTTGTAGTGCTTTAAGGTTCACAGAGTGCTTTATATACATGACCTCATTTGGTCCTCACAACAATCCTGGGAGGTAGGTGCTTTTATTATCCCTGTTTTACACGTGAAGAAACTGAGCCTGAGAAGAGCGAAGTGATGTGTCCAGGGTCACATAGCTAGTAGGTGTCTCAGCTGAGGGCTATCCTAGTTCCAAGTTCAGTGCCCTCTTCCCTGTGCCACCAGGCAAAGTCCTCAAACATCAAAAGTACATTCACCTTTCCCTCCAGTTGCTAAATATACAAAACCAACTTATCTTCATTTTCCAAATGTGGTTGGTGATCTGCTTTTTCAAAACCATTATTAAGAGCCAAGGAATACTTACTTTTGTTATATTCCTTCTCTCCCTGTCAAGCTTCTTAAGCATCTCTCCCCCTAACCCCAGAGTGTTAGTGGCTGTCACTCCTTATCCCATTGAGAGGGCTCACCATACACCCCCTAATAACAGCTCTATCCAGAGCTTTCCTAGGTACTGTATCTGACCAGTTAGTCTCTACCTGAGGCTCCCTTCTGTACTACATACCCCCTACTTTAGCAGTGAATTTAACTGTTAAATCATTGCAAACAAAGTGATACATTTTAAGCCTCAGGAACAAGGGAGCCAAACCAGTTATTCAGCTAGTCTCCTGGGCTGACCAAATCCCAAGGTTACCTAGCCTGGAAATTTATCATTCTTTTTTGGGATCTCAGTTGACTTACCTATCAAATGGGAGGAAGGTATTGGACCAGATTGAGAATTGCCTTTTTTTTTTTTTGATGGCAGTGCACAGATATACATAAATGTGAATTTCTTCATATAATTAATCACATTCATTTTCAGTTGTGGTTTACTGTGATTGATCCAGATCTGAGTTATTGAAAGACTTGAGTCAGTAGACCTTTGTTTGTAGGGGTTTTTGAGTTGTAGTATTGGGGGAGGGAGAAAGAGCTCATGACAAATATCTTCTAATATTCAGCAAAATATGAGGTGTTCTCTGCTTGAGAGGGACAGAGGAAGAAGGCTGAAACTGAGACCTTAAAGTTTTGAACGGCTCCACTGGGAAGTGTAATAGAAGAGGGTTAAAGGATGACCTTGCTGCAGTGATGAGATACTATAAATATTGTATTGGGCCTGATCATCATGGTTGTGTGACTTCTGGCACCATTCAGCAATTCCCATACTTGTATATTCCAGCTGAAAACTTTTGGATCTCTTGTTGACAAAATTAAATAGTACCTGATCTGACATAAATCAGGGATTTTGTGAACAGCGCAGAACAAAGAGGTGTCATGATAGTTACCATATTTAGCTAAATGCTGATGAGTTTTGGTGGATATAAGGAAGACAGTACGTTTGAGGATAATGGCAGAAAAACCTTGTGGTAAAATTTCTCTGTATGTTTTGAAAAGAAGGTTTCTTTTTTGTTCTTTTAAGTTTGTTTTTCAACCTGTGATGTAATTTATTTGACCATCTCTCTCTCTCTCTTTTGGCAGGTCCTACATGAAACATTTCCTCAACATACTTTCCTCATGAATGGTCTCATTCAGGGTGTGAAGGTAAAAAAGACTTGTTTGTGTGGGTTGAATAAAGACTGAAACTAGAATTATAAATAAGACCTCTAGGGGATTCAGGTAATGCTTGGGGAAACAACTGATGTTTCATCTGGAGATCTAGGTTTAGGTTCTGACCTGAGTTACATAGGAAAAACAAAGCAACTTCATTTATCAAGTTTACTAATATCTTAAAATAACAGTTTGAACCTGATGTAGTTTTACTAGATTTTCATGAATAATTTGCTAGGTAATTTGTAAAGGGTTTCCAAATTACAGGAGTTTTTAGTTCTTTCCTCCCACAATATGGGAAGCTGGATAAGTGTTATTACCTTTACCTACTCATGGAATCTTAGGCAAAGAGGGAATAAGCAGCTAATCATATTGAACAGAACATTTTAGCAAAGCTGAATTAGAATCATAGTATTCAGAATCCTTAATCCAGCATCTAGTCTTATTATCCACTGTATTCCTACATCTCCCTAAAACACCAACACCGTAAATTAATGGGCATCTTGAGCTTTATAGTTGTACTTTACAGATTTCCCACAAGGGAGTGTCATTTGGGATTTACCATTTGCTTCTGCGGCAAACTGTGACCTGTGCACATTTTTGTGGGATACCTCACAGACCTCGTCTACCATAGAAATGAGCCATGTGCAAAGCTGTTTTACCTCCAAGGGAATTTTTTTTTCTTCAAATAGGAGAGGCAGCTGTGCAGCTGGGGAGCTTAAAAATTTGTTGGAAATAAAATTATCCATGTGACATTGGCAGCATGAGATAAGGCAGATGTTGGTTGGCACTGTGGTTGGGAGTCTCAGAGAAGCAAAGAGGGGAAAGGAATTGGTGTCGGCTAGAGTTGTGGTAGAAGGTGATATAGTGGGGCCTGATTTGGGCCTTAGCAATGGAAAGGGTTTGGATTAATGAAGGGAGGGGAGAAAAGGTGGCATAGAAGTAGGGATGAATGTGGTGTGTAAAGGGTACAATAATTGACTGGCTTAACTGGAGGGATGTGTTTTTTGAGGACAAAACAAGGGAAGAGGTATCTACTGACATTCATACCACACTTAGCCCTTTCCTAAGGAGCTCAGTATGTGGCTTACAGTGTTACTCTTCACCTCATCTTTGCTTTTAGAACTTGAATATTTGTTTTGATATCCCTTTAAGCACCCTGGCGTCCCCTAAAAATGTGCCATCTTCATAGTTTTGAATTTGGAAATTCCCTTCTCTTTTTGTCTTTCCCTGTTTTTGAATCCTTTATTGATTCTGTCCTCCTTCATGCTGCACTGTTCCTTTCAAGTTTATCACCCTGCTTTACTTCCCTCCCCTTTTTTAAAAATTCTTGACTCTTTAGTTAATGACTTAAAATATTCCACTCATGACTCCCTTGTCCTCGTGTCCTTCAGTCTATGCTCTGCCCATCATCAGCCTTGGGTAGCTTTCATCATCTTCATTCTTAAATGTTTGTTTCAAAAAAGAACAGATTAAAATCTCTTTAAGGAAAAAATTCTAAAGATGAGAAAAATTTTGTTTCTTTAGGACCTTCTTAAAAGTAAGTGTAACCTCTTTTCTAGAGACAAGGTGGCCCATTTTATAGTGTTGAACTTAGAGGATAGAATGATGAACTTGAGAGTTAGGAAGACCTGAGTTTAAATCTTGCTTTAGATACTTAGCTTTGTAACCCTGGGTTAGTTATTAAATCTCTCTGAGCCATAGTTTCCTCATCTCTAAACTGGGGGTAAAAATAGTACCTCATTCCCTAGGTTATTGTGAGATTTCAAATGAGATAACACATGTATATATGGAAACATGTATAAATACTAGCTATTATTATTGTTGTTGTTGTCATTGTATCTTGGTGTAGGGGTGTGATCCAGTACTTTTTTTTTTTTGAAGACAGTCAGGGTTGAATGTCTTGCTCAGGGTCACACAGCTAGTACTTATCTGAGGCTAGATTTGAACTCAGGTCCTCCTGACTCCAGGGATAGTGCTGTATCCATTGTACAACCTAGCTGCCACAATCCAGTGCCTTTTGACTTGGGGTCAAAAGGCAGTCTGGTGGGTGTGCTCTGGAATGTTCACAGTAATTACCAAAATTGCAGAAACTCTCTAATTGATGTGCAGCACACACGCCAGAGTCATTCTAAGAGAAATCTCCGTTCCCCTGGGCTACCTTCCCTGCTCTCAATCTCAGACTACAAATTTTTAGATTTAGGCAAAATCACTATTATGGACGTGTAATTTATCAGCAGTATCAAGTCACATAAAAACAAAGATAAACATTCAAATACCCTTCCAGTCTAGGGGGTTTCTGAAGAAAGGGATTGAGATTTAAACTCTTGGAGTAGGAAGAAGAAAGGAGCTGTTGACTGGACTTAATTCTTACCCTTCAGTTTAGTTGATTTGCATTCTAATCAGGCATTCATAGTCTTTTCTTTTGCTCTGCGGTCTGTGGTCACCAGTCTTACTCTTGCCTTCTGTACTTGGTGCCCCTAAATTTGGGTGGAAAGTCCCTCCCTCAAGTTCACAAGAACTCCATAACAAACAGTTCTGCTGAATAATTTTGAACAGTCTAGTCCCAAGATTCTCAGTCTTCCCAGGAAAGTCATAAATCTCAGCCAATGGTAATTCATAGTCTTTTAGATAACTGCTCATGCTGTTTTCTTGTATGCTTCTGGACCAAGAGAACTTCCTCCTCTGTATGCCCAAGGACTTATCTGCCTCCTAGCCTCAGACAAATTTCCTTTCTTGACAGTTAAGATTTAACAGTTGACTACTTCCTTTATTACCCCCTTTCTGAGGATTGTTTAAATTAAATTAAGCTAAATTGTATAGGATTGATAGAAAGTATTGCCTCATAATGAATTTATATCTAGTAGTAATCTTTAAGGTGTTTGTGACCATCTCTATAAAAATTGTGCATTAGTCCCTTGGCCAGGAAAATTATCCTGTAGGAGAATAAAATTGAATTTTCATTTTGTTGACTTACAGTGTCTTTTCTAGGCACTAAGTTTGAGGTCTGTGTATGTTGTTGTTTTAAATTCCTTTTCCTCCCCTAGATTATAGGCTGTTATCTGTTGTGGTATGTGAGAACAATAAATTTTCCTAAGAGCAAAATTTTTCAGTTTAATTTGAGAAATGAAAATGAAAGTTTTGCTGTAAAACACTGTAATGAACCAAAATGAGAAAACTGCTTGTAAAAAAAAAGTCCAGATTTCAAACTGTTTCACAATGCATGTGCCTTATGACTTAATGTGAGGGAATCAGAGTGTGGTTTGTTTCTCTTTCTATAAAAATGAAACTTTTGAGCAAGTGATTATTGATATTTTGTTTTTCCTATTCCCCAGGGCTGCTACTTATCTTTCAAATTCATTTATAAAATTCATATTAGCGTTGGAAGAAGGAATAGATGGAATGGAAAAATATTTATTAGGCTCCCACATGCAAAGCATTGATCAAAGTACATGTAGGGATATGAAGAGAAAATTTAGATCATCTGTTCTTGAGGAGCTCAGTTTAATTGGGGGAGACAACATGCCTGTATTACCCTTAGCCTAATGGTTGGATTTTGAGGGAGTAAAAGACCAGAATATGTATTTGTCAACCTCTTCCTCCTCCCCTCCCCATCTTCTTGGTAGTGCCTTGAGACACAATGAGCTCAGTGAACTCAGTCCTGTGAAATGGTAAATGTTAAGAGGCCACATTGGTTAGCAGGCTGATAGTTCTCTCCAGGTTTAAGCATCTTTTGTGCATCTTAGTCCTGGGAATAACAGTTAATTCTCTCTTTAAGAATTCCTTAGGAAAATTCCTTTTCTTTCTTTGATAGAAATCCCTTAAGAGTAGCTTGTGATGTTTGGTACACAAGGATCATTTGGGCACCATAATTTATGTATTGTGATGCTTGATTGTGTCTGTTCCCTTTTGCTCATTGTCTCTAGTGGAAAGGGAGCCAGAATGGGAACTTTACTTTCCTGAAACTTTTGTAATTGTTGGAGCTATGTTATCATTATATATTCTAAGTAGTGACAGATTTTTCTTCTGGTTATAATAGTTTGACCAGTGATCATTGGAGCAACTTTGGTTGAGATCACCTCTGCTTCTTCCCCCATGTCTTTGTGTTTCCTGTGTTCTCTTCCTATCTTTCTTTCATAGTAACTTCTCAGGTCATTATGACTGAAATGTAGCATAAATCCATCTAGGCTTCTTATTGTCTCCATTCATACAACCCAGATGGGAACTGTTGTTTATGTTAATTTCCACTTAGTACATATATGTCCCACTGTTTTTTACTTTTTCACTTTTTTTTTGTGAGGCAGTTATTGAGGTTAAGTGACTTGCCCAGGGTCACACAGCTAGTGAATGTTAATGTGTCTGAGGCCAGATTTAAATTCGGGTCCTCCTGTCTTCAGGGCCGCTGCTGTATCCACTGCACCACCTAGCTGCCCCAGTAGCTTGCACTTTTGAAAACTATATTTATTTCTTTTGATTACCCATCTGTTGTGGAATGACTCTTGTCATTCCCCTGTTGATATTTTTATCATTGCTGTATTGTCATTGATATATTTTATATTTATCAGAAATGCTTAATGTGAAAATTTTGTCCCCTTCCCTTTAATAGCTACTCTTTTAGGTATATTGACAGAATACTGTTCACTATGGAAAGATCTGGAGGTATCTAGTCTTCTACTGAAAAAATCATTAATGGCTCCCTATTGCTTACCAAATGAAATTCAGACTCCTTGGCTTTGCTATTCTAGGCCCTCTTCAGTCTGGTATACCCTTTCTCTACCTTTTTAGCTTTTACCTTGTTCATATTACTTCCCTCCAAATGCATTTTTTATGCTTAAGCCAAATTGCACTAGTATCTGTCCCTGAACATTCTATCGTTTCCCTTCTTTGTGATTTTGCTCCCTCTGCTCTCTCTACTGCTAGTGACTTCCTTTATTGTTATACCTGTTGAATTCTTATCCATCCTTTAAAAGCCAACTGAAATGCCACCTTTTACCTGAAGCTTTCCTGAACCCCCGGTGGTAACGATTTTCCCTCTCAAACTTACTGCTTTTTTATACTTCTCTGATGCACTTAACATATGATATTTTGCATTATTATTATCCATATGTTGGTCTTATTTCTCTCTCAGACTGTAGGCGCCATGTGATCATGGGACTTTTATTTTTTTTAAACTTTCTATCTCCCCTGGGGCCAAACATGGCATTTTTATCCCAACTGAATTAAAACTTAATTGAATTATTCTTCTTAGGCTTCTCAAAAATTGTCACAAGACAAAACCTTGATGTGCCTTAAAGTCTCTTAGTATGATCAGTTGTATGTAAATTGCATCTCTGTTCCCAATCTCTTTTGAAAACTACTCTAGCCCTGTCCTTTTCCCTTTCCATTGATATTTGCTTAGAACAATTTCTTAAGTGAAGTATGAAGAGAGGTTGAAGGGGCTTATACTTCAAATGATTTTGTGTTAGGGACACATAAACTTAAAACTCAAATAAAAGATTTTAAATGATACTAGATTCAGAGTACAAACACTATGTATGCACTCACTTTTGTCTCTTTCTCCTTATTTTTAGGGACTGTTATCCTTTCTGAGTGCCCCCCTTATAGGTGCTCTGTCTGATGTATGGGGAAGAAAACCTTTTCTTCTAGTTACAGTTTTCTTCACATGTTTCCCAATTCCATTAATGAGAATAAGCCCATGGTAAGTGACACTGCCTTTCCCAGGTGACCTGAATGATCTTTTTGGGTTCTTTGGAGACTGAATGTAATTAGGAAATGATCATAGATTTAGAATTTTAAGGTACTTTAGAGACCATCTAGTCTAATCCCTTCATTTAACAGATGAGGAAACCAAGGCTTAGGACGTTAAGTGACTTGTCTCATACTTCACATTTATAAGTGTTACAAGGCAGGATATTTTGTCAAACTTGTGATTGAAGTCCTACTTGCATTTTTGTGCTGTTGGGATCTTGGATCAAATGAGATATTAAGTGTAAAGTGCTTAGCACAGTCCTGGTTCATAGCAAGCACTAGCTAAAGGCTAGTTGTTGTTAGTAATTATTATAAGCAATGTGCATGCAGCTTGTGAGATTCCTGTTTTTAGAGAGTTGAAATGAATACTTTAAAAGTTTTAAAATAACTCCTGTGACCCCAATGCTGTTTCTGTTTTTAAAAGCACCTTCAGTTTTTGTAGTTGTTTGCAGCAGATATTTAGTCTTTTTCTTTGTGAAAAGAGACTCGTGTTTTGCACATTACAAATCTCATGCTGATGAAATCACAGATCCTTTAAGATACCATTTTAGCCTAAAACATTCTCTGAAACAATCCACCTAGAGAGATTTTTTCATAAGATGTTACATGGCAACATCCAAGGCTTCATTTTAGATAATGTGAAAATTTTAGTGTTACAAGCAGGCTCTTTCTTTCTGAACTTTTTTTTCTTTTAAACTGTTCTGCCACGAACTTCTTCTCTTTTTTGAGCCAAAGATTTCGAATTTTAGGCAAGTAGAGTAAGAACTATTATGATGTTTTTGTTCAGGAGCAAAGATGTCTTCCCATTTGGGCCAGCAAGTAATGTGTGCCTTTTAACATTTTATCTCTTCTTACCAAAAATGTATGGTTCTGAGTCAGAAGGGCTAGACTGTGATTGCAGCTGTGTGATGCAGTGATTAAGACAAGTACCGAGCCTGAAGCCTGGAAGTCTTGGATTCAAATCCAGCCTCAGACACTTAAAAGCTTTGTGACCCTGTCAAGTTATTCTCTGAACCTCAGTTCCCTCATCTATGAAATGGGGAAAATAATAGCACTTACCTCCCAAGGTGGTTGTTAGGATAAAAGGACATAATAATTTGTAAAGCACTTTCTAAACCTTAATATGCTGTATAAATCCTAGATATCATTATCATCATCATCATCACCCCCAATTTATACTTTGAACATAAGGATAATAAATTTCTAGTTAGTTCTTGTCCCTCATACTTCTATATCTCTCTGCTTTGGTATATATTTTTTTCTCTTTAATGGAAGCAGTGTAATGGACACATCTATCCAATAGGCATCTAGACTTTGATAAATTAACGCTTTTAAAAATTTTCACTTTGAAAAATGGTTTGGGTGTAAATTGTTTATTGTGGGCAGAACTAATTTATATTTTAAGCTATAATAAGATTGCTGACCTTTGCTAATTGTCAGTCTCTGAGTTTTAATAACGTTTTTGCAATTTGTCAAGAAAATAATTTCATTTTTATGAGTGAGGAATGTTTTTTATGTCCTAGAGAGTTACAAAAAATTTTATTTCCGTTAACTAAGTAAATAAGTCATATCTCATAATCAGTGGGGAAAAAAGATTTTGTGAATATTAATTATGGAAATTTATAAGTACATATACATTTGTTTTCTTTTGATAATAAAATAACATGGGAATATTAGGATTTTCCATTGTTTGCAAGGCAGTCTTTGTTTTTAACTTAATTTTCTTCTTTGTAGGTGGTACTTTGCTATGATTTCTGTCTCCGGAGTTTTTTCGGTTACTTTCTCTGTAATATTTGCATATGTAGCTGACATTACTCAAGAGCACGAGAGAAGTACAGCCTATGGATTGGTAAGATATCAGATGGACCTTTTGTTTTGTAATCAGTAAATTACCTTGTACTGTTACTGAAAATCAACACAATGCCAATTTTAAAATTATGAATGAATACTAATTGAATTCACTACAAAGGAGATTGTTAGAGTGTTAAGAAAATTCTTGCCAGGAGAACAAGGAGCCAGTTCGTGTTACAAAGTTAGAACCTCCCATTTCTTTATTCATTCTGTTTTAGAGTATTAAAAAGTTGATTTGGGGGCAGGTCATAAGGGAATTTTTAAAGAAAAGAACCTGTGAAGTAACCCCCCCCTTTTTTTTAAGGGAAAGAGTGAGTGTGAACTTATTATATTGTCCTAGAATAGATAAGAATAATCAACTGTGGGGTAGGGAAAAAAAGCAGTAGATTTGTAATGAGTAGATTTGGGGTTGAAGTCCTGGCTCACTCCCCTTTTCACTTTGAGCAAATCAGTCCAGCTCTCTGAGTCTCATCTGTAAAATTGGGTAATAAACTATCTCACAAGGTTGTTGTTACCTTAAAAGGCTGTTGAAATATACATCATGATAATACTGATGATGGTGGTGGTAGTGATCACAATGAAGAACATTTTATAAACCATCCTTTCTTGGTTAATTTAACTTGAATAGGAGGTGATAACTTTCCATTTATACATCTTTAAATTCCTTCAGTGTGAACACTCTTCTCTATAAGGTTACATTATGAAATTAACAGCTAATTTGAAACCTTATTATAGTTGGAAACCATGTTGCAGAGATAACAAGCATATAGTAAATGATTATTAGAATTCAAAAAGATTGTGGCCGATAGGAGGTGAATCCAGTATGGTCAGATTTAATAGAGATAAATATACACATATATAGATATGGATAATCATCTTAGACTTGGATTTTATTTTATTTTACTTTACTTTACTGTACTGTACCTTACGCAGTTGGAGTTAAGTGATTTGCCCAGGGTCACACAGCTAGTAAATGTCAAGTGTTTGGTCTGAGGCTGAATTTGAACTCAGGTCCTCCTGACTTCAGGGCCGGTGCTCTATCCACTGCGCCACTTAGCTGCCCCATAAGACTTGGATTTTAAAAAATCAGCTTCACAGAAGGCTGCTAGTCAGTATTTTGGTGAAAAAAGACATAGGGGTTTTAGTGGTTTCCACTGTGGTAACCAAGAAAGCTAATCAATCAGTCAGTCAACATTTATTAAGTATCTACCGTATGCCTAGGCCAGAGACAGAAAAGTATAGTGTTTCACTGACTTTGCTCTTGACAAACCATATCTGGAATATTTTGTTCAGTAACACATGCCAGATTTTAAGAAGGACATCAATTAACTAGAGAATATTCAGAGCCAGGCAACCAGGATGATGAAGAGTTTGAAAGTATGTCATGAGGATCAGTTGGAGGAGCCAGGGATGTTTAGCATGGAAAAGGGAAGACTTGATGGGGATGATGACCCTTTGAGTATTTGGCATGCTACTGGAAGAAAGAGGGATTTCCCTTGATTGATATAGCCTTAGAGCAAAGGTTTTTCACTTTTTTGTGTGTGTGTACTGGCCCCATTTGGCAGTCTGATGAAGCCTATGACCCCTTCTCAACAAGATAAATAAGATTTCAAGGGAAACCAGTTGTATTGAAATGACAGTTATTAAATTTTTTTTTTTTTAGTTCAAGGACTAGGGTTTTACCCTAGAAGGTAGAAGTAGGAGCAGTGAGTGGAAGTTTCAGATAGGTAGATTTGGCTTTTGTAACAGTTAGAACTGATGAAAAGTAGAATGAACTGCCCAGGAGGTTGTAGTTTCTCTCCTTCTGGGGTTCTTTAAGTGAAGGCCAATTGAGTAATTATTGAGTATTTTGTAAAAGGTATTCTTTTTTCAGGTACTGGATGGAGTAGGTGGCCTTTCAGGTCTCTGAGACCTGTGAACTCTGAAATTTAAGGAATTCAGATATTAAGATTCAAGCCTTGAACTTTTGTTAAACCTTGCTCAGCATGCTTGTTGTCTCCTTATATGAGTTTATCTTGACTTTTTTTTTTTGCTAGCATGGTGAGAAACATTGGTTGTGCTGCATTTTTTTGCTGAAGTAGTTATATATTAAAACACAGAAACCTTATTCATGAATAAACAGCTTTAAAAGTTACAAGCACATGATTTCCCAATAAGCAAAATACTTTTGTTATTAATTCAGAAAATGAATTACTTGCGTAGCACTTTATTGGGTTCTTTTCTCAGTCCCATTTACTGACTCTGAGATCTTGATTAATGACTTGACCTCTTTGTGCTTTTGTTTCCTGTCTTATAAATGGTAATAAGAATGCTTACTACTTGTGTATACTGCTGGGGAATGTGAGGATTGAAAGGTCATTTGTCCCTTACTTTATTGACACAGTAATGAATTCCTGCCTGAGGTTTTAGGAGCATCATGAGCCCTGTTACGTAAAGGCATATAAAATATGAATACCAAAAAAGTATGGCCATTATTCTGCCAAACATTTGCCCTGTAGAAAATGTTCTGTTGCTGCATCTGGGAATTGGGTATCCATCCATAAAGCCAGTTATTAATGTAGCGTGTTAATTTAGGTGTGGTGAGCTAATCTTCTCAAGATTATTTTTCACCAGATAAGAGGACTATCAGGACTTGGTGATTGTTGAGCTAGAATTAACTATAGTTGTGTTAGTACAAAAGATTCACATTTATAAATATAAGGAGTGAACTATTTCTGTGTCTATATATGCACACATACACATATATGCATATATACATATATATGTGTGTGTAGCTAAAATTTTTTACATCCTTATTGTAGTACTTTTTGTGACTTGATACATTTTTATTGTCTCAAAACATGAGGGAAATATCTAGAAATATATATATATATATATATATATATATATATATATATAAATATGTGCTTGCACATTTTAATGTTTCATATAGATTTATGGTAATATCAACCATCTGGAAGAAAGCCATCAACCTAGAAGTAAATGGGAAAAGAACTTTGAGGAAAATAGCTTTTGGCAAAGCTCAGTAGTATAAATTAAGATGTGGAGACCCAGAGAGGAATTTAGAACTGTGAGTTAACTTAAATGTGATTATTTGGTTTCTTCTTAGGTTACCTCAGAATAGGAGATTAGAAAGGGTAGAGAGTGCCTGGGAGCGAAAATATTCATAGATAAAATTTAGTGTAGGGGCAAACAGTCCTATTTCCCTATAGTCCTAAAAAGCAGCTATCACATCATGCTCCAAAATGTTTGTTCATAATAAAGACCTTGTACATGGGAAAACAGGCAGGGATGGGAGAGGGAAAAGTGATGTTTAAGAGAAAGCTTTGGATTGGGGAAGGAATAGACACAAACAAGAGAAACATTACTTGTAGTAGAGGGTAGATCTTAAATCAGTGATTAAAAGGAAGTAACGAAAAGTGTAAGAATCAGTATTTGTGATTAGATAAAGAGATGCTTATGTTCATCACTTGTTTTTTCATCTTCTCTGCAAAGACAGTGGTGGGAGTTGAGAAAAAAGAAGTATTGAGGGTATGATGGAGACAAATACATTTAACTATAACTATGAATGTCAGGATGCACTCACTCATAAAACAGAAGAGGGCAGCAGAATGGATTAAAAAAAACCCAGAATATGAAAATATTTTGCTTACTAAAAACATAATACAAAGATTTACACAGTTAAAACTAGAGGCTGGAACAGAATTTATTATGTCTAAGGCTAGTTAAAAAAAGCAGGGATAATAATCATCTCTCAGACAAACACAACAGTAAAAGTAGACATGGTTAAAAGAGCAAGGAAAAACATTATGCTTAAAGGCATCATAGAAAATAAAGTAATATCAGTATTTAATATATGCACCTAATGACAAAATGAAGAAAAGTTAGTTGATTTGCAGAGAGATATAGATGACAAATCTATAATGGTTGAAGACCTCAGTATGTCCCTTTGGAGACCTAGAGAAATATAAAAAAAAGATATAAGAAAGAAGTTCAGGATTGTAATAGAATTTAGAAAAAGGATAGATTTCTGGGAATAGAAAGGAATACATATTCTTTGTTGTAAGTGGCATCTTTACAAAGATTGCATATGCTAGGGCATAAAAAACCTCATAAACAAATATAGAAAAGCAGAATATTAAACAAATTGTTTATTTCCTCAAAGCACAATAAAATTATACTCAGTAAAAGGCATTTTTAAAAAAAGTATTCAAACTTGAATGAGGACTAAATTTAATCCTAAAGAAGAACCTGATGGATCAGAGAACAGATCATAGAAATTAAAGGTAATTTCATCAAAGAAAATTACAAAACTGAAACAACTTCCAGAATTTTTAGGATGCAGCCAAAGTAGTCCTTGGGGAAAATTATTTCTCTGAACACTTTCATCAAGAAGGGAGGGCAACTTTAAAAGCAAACTAGAAAGTCAACATTCAGAAAAAACCCAACTGAAGAAAATAGAAATTTTAAAAACAAAATTGAAAAAATTCCTAATGAAATAAGACCAAAAGTTGTTTCTTTGGGAGGAGATGGAACAGAAATAAACTGTTCACTTATCTGATTTTTTTTCAAGAAAAATTACCATTAAAAATGACAAAGGAAAATTCATAGCAAATAAAGAGGAACTAAAGGAAATTTATATATGCCAACAAAAAAAAGTATACATTTTACATTTATATGCCAACAAAAAAAAGGATCACTATTTTCAAGAATATAAAATACCAACATGAACAGAATGAGAAATAGAGAATTTAAATAACAATTTCAGAAAAAGAAATTGAAGAAGCTATAAATGAACAAACCATAAGTGAAAGGGGAGGGAGGGGTTGTATGGAAAGGGTATGAATAGGGGTGTGGAGGGAGGCAGATACTGATGGATTTATAAGTGAATTTTATCAAGTAATCAAAGAAGAATTCTAGTATCATATAAATTGCAACAATAGAAAAAGAAGAGATCCTATAAGATTCTTTCTAAGAAACTAATAAGGTCTTGATACC